AGTCCTAGGGCTCTATCTTGGTCTCCCCCAAATGGGAGAGTTACGTTCCTTTCCCTTGCTGAAAGCTTTCCCCTTTGCTGTATGCCTTCATTACCCCACTGTACTGTTGCACAAATTTAAAGGAATGTTAACTAGGTGACAGGGGTAGAGTTCAGGAAAAGGCCAGACACTGGAAGAAATGGTCCTGATTTGTGCCCACTAAAGCATCTGAGCTAAAGAGCCTGGTGGTTGCTATTTTATTAAAGTATCCGTGTATAATAAATCCCATTTTATAGAGGCAGTGACACTCATCCAGGCACAGAGGTGTAATCAGATAGCTGCATTGTGCAGGTGCAGGGAGAGTTCAACCTTTGGCTTCATGCATCACAAAGCACCAGAGATGCGTGTTCGCTTCATGACGACGACTCGGCTCCGTGTCATGTTATACTTTATGTGGACTGCACCCCCCTTCTCCCGCGTCTGCCGCCCAAGCCTTGCGGGAGCAGGGCAGGCTAAGGTTTGGGACTTTCTGAGCAGGGGGGAATTAGCTTCAGTCAGATCAAAATTCACCAAGGTTCACATTTCGGGACAGCAGTCCAGGTCGCATCAATCATTGGTTACAAATATCTTCACTGAAGTGAATGGTGGTTTTGTCACTGGATAGCGGCAGGATTCAACCCTAAAAAATGTCAAGCCAGTAAGACTGCTACTAGGGGAGCGCTAGCAGGACTCGACACACAAGGATTAAATTAACTGCTCTATTCCATGCTCTAACATCCCTGCTTTTGAGTCCTGTTCCACACAACTGAAAAGGCCTTGGAAATGCTAGAAATCCTGTGCTGAATCTCCAATCCTGTACAACCCAGAAACAAGTGGAACCAGGTTAGGTGGAAGAATAAGGGTACGTCTACACGGTCTAACACAGCACCTTGCAGATACCTATGCCAACTTGGGTCCCAGAAGTAGTACAGCTGCATTACCACAATATTTCACGCAGACTCATTATGCTTGCCGAGTAACAGAGTAGTTATGAAGACTAACCCTGCACCACTGTGTCACTGTCCGAACAATGTGCATTACCACGAGTAGCTAACAAAACATTTATGCTTTCAGTATAACATGCACTCAGATCCCTTTTTCTTTAAAGGGAGAAAATACTGCTAATTCCCCCCCCCCCCATAAATTACAAACCCAAAAGTTCTTGGAATGCAACTATTTCATCTTTACTAAAGTGAATTTTAAAACAAATTCTCTCTAATCATGGACAGCAATTCTGCATGCGCTGGTGTGAAAGAAATGAAACAGCAAATATCATTTAAATCCTTTTTGATTGTCAAATACCCAGCCGGGTGATCTGTTTTATTTGTCAAAGACTCTTAGCACCCAGCTTCCTTGTATGACCAATTAAAAATGGGAGCCATACTTGGAATAATTAATGGAGCTGAGCGCTCATTTAACAATTAGTAGCTGTCACAAAATTCTGCCTCAGACAGAATCAACTAATTGTGTAATTTTCCCAGCTGATGCTTCTCAGGACACAGCCAGATTTAATTGGAGATTACACTGGCTCTTTGAAGGTGCAGCGGCTAGCCAGCAGGGACTCTGAACAAACAGATACAGTCGGGGAGCAGGAGGCTGACGGGAGAGTTTTGGTTTTGCTTTAGTGCTAGAAAGAAAGAATGAAAAACCCAACCAGCTGCAGATAACACTTGTGTTTCAATCACAAATCACAATTTGTAATATGGACACACACAATTTGTAATATGGACACAGCCAACCCATTTGAAATTACAGATTTTGTTTTGAAAGATTCCCCTGCCACCCTGCTGCGCAGAGAAGTTGCTTAAAGGAAATGAAAAGAGCAGGGAACTCCATGCACATGAATTGTCTGGGCTTTTGACAGGGGTTTCTGTGCTTTGTATCTGTTTCCCCAAGGAGAGATTTTGTGCTGATAGGGAACTGCAGCGCTGCCAGCCCCACTCTTCCAGCCCCTAACATCTATGAATCTATACCCCAGCAGCCTTTCCTGCCCAAGTGCAGGGGGGCTGGACCCGATGGTCTTGTAAGGTCCCTTCCAGCCTACGAATCTGTTTAGAAATCCTGAAGTCAGGCCCTAAGTGTTCACATGCTTAAAAATCATAACATCAAAACAGTTGCATTCAAGGTTTGTCATTTCCAGGCCATCTTCTCAAGTTTTATTCTGTATCATCGGGTCCTAAAAACTTCTTAAAACAGAAGTAAACCGAGGTTATCATCACGTAGTCAACACCACCAGAAGCTGGGGCTTCAAGAAAAAAACCCCAAAACACCAAGTACTGTGAGACCTGTGATAAAACAGCGGACTGAAAACTAAGGGTCACAGTACTGTCTCTACTGTGGGGAGAATACTCCACAAGATGTGAACAAAATAAAGAGCCCAGAGGAGGGTAAAAACGATTGAGGTCTAGAAAACAGTGCATGAAGAAAGATTGGAAGAATTGGGATTTAGTCCAGAGAGGAGAAGCCTGAGAAGGGATCTGATAACAGTCCTGACAAAAAAAGGGTTACTGTAAACAGGACAGCGAACTCTGCCAATGGGAGAGGGCAAGAAGGAGCTAACTTAAATTTCAACAAGTGAGGTTTAGGTTGGACACTAGGAAGAACTTTCTAACAAGGACAATGGTTAAACACTGGAAGACACTGTGGACTCTCCATCACAGCAAATTAGACAAATACTTGTCTGGGACAGTTTAGACAGAGGTGATCCTGCCTCGATCGAGGGGGTAGACTAGATGTCCCTTCCAGCCCTATGACTCTACTATATACTTCTGGGGGGCCTGGACCCTGTGGAAAAGCACGGGGTGAGGCTCCTAAACCCCATGGTCCCCCCTAGACATAGGTGGCTTTGAAAGTGACACAGGAGCATTTATTTATAAGTATAGAAATGCTATACTTCTGCATTCCCCTTCTGCCCCTTCCCACAATCACCAAAGTGTCCCTGTGCCAGTAAAGACGTTAACAAATTGGCTCCCAATACTGAACAAAGGACCTGTCATGAGTAACTGGAGGGTCCAACCTATATCTGATGTGAAAAGCACTTTCAGATCCTCTCCAGCCACAAGACATTGCTGCTTTCTGACTGGGCATGCTAATCAAACCGATCATTTTTTGACAGAGGAGAATCCAGGTTTTTATAGCAGGGCCTTTATGTGAAGCTAGTGGTTACCTTCCATGCTAAAAAAAGAAACCCTTCAAGTCAAGAAGCCCCAGAATGTAATCTATAAATACATGGGGCAAACTGTGGGTTGTTTTCTTTTTAATTTAAGAAAAATGTGTCCTTTTGTACTACAAACAGCCCATGTTTTGTGATACCTGTTGCTAAGAGAGGAAACCATTTACCATAAACCACATTAAAAAAAAAAAGACAGCAAAGAATGATAAATTGTGCTAAATCAATGAGTTTCTCTATGCGAAGGACTAATCCAGGCAACAGCTGATCATTTGCAATACTCACTGGTCTGAACTGGCCACAAGGGTGCTGAGAACTTTTCAGGAGGTGATCGTTACTTTGGAGAATCAAGCCCTTAATTAGAGGCTATCAGAAAAACCACTAATTGCTGCTGATGGACTGGCTGGCACCATAACTCACAATTACTGTCCACCTTTCCCAAGTCACACGGCTACAAATTTATTACAGTGGGAGACCTGTTTTTAAAGAGTCCTGGATGTCTAATGCTGCGGGTAGAAGAAATTTTCCAGTCATGCTGAATTTCTGCCAATGTACATAGCTGATTTGGAGTTCAAATATAAGACATTTATTTATTAAAAACACATAGATGCAACCAGCTTGCTTTGCAGAAATGTAACGTGCATAATAAAACACAACGCTAACGCCTATGAAGCATGTAATGATTCTAATAAATGACACGGCACTTAACCTACCAAGTGCAAGGGGTAAAAGGAATTCACTGCAACAGGGGCAGCAAGACAAGGCTCACGTTTTGCCCTGATTTCCGTAACAGCATAACAGGGTGAACATCACAAAGCAGGGTTGCTCATGGCACCAGCAAACCCAGTCTTTTGACTAGTCTCTAGGGAATGAGAGGTCTAGACTCCTGCATCCCTCTGCTCCCCTGGCCAAGGTGAAGATCATGCATTAGAAGGGCTTTAAACACTACCCGCGACCTCCACAGGACCACATTCTCAGGAGCTGGAATATCTTGGTAGTTCAAAACAATGGTATAATTGGTTTGTCCAAAATTTAAAGAAAAGGCGAGGTTATAACCATAGCTCGTGATGCTAAGGTTATAAAATCAATTCCATCTACATGGTTTGGAATGCAAATGTAAGGTCTTATTGCAAATATACTGGACCTACCACTGCTGCCATGGAGGGAAGCAATAGCTCCACCGCCACAGCCCAGGGACAGCTCTGCCCACTGGCAGCTTGCCCTCCCCTTGCTGCCGGCGGAGAGGCAGGTAAGACACGGGTGTACACGACATGGGGGTTTACTTCACCCTAAATTGAAGCAGTGTTTTTAAAAACCCACCGTTTCAATTTAAGGCAAAGTAAACCCCCATTTCATCTACACATGCCCCATGATGTCTAGTCAACAAACTCAGGGAAGGGTTTTAATTTCAGTGCTAAATGACATCCCCTTCATCTTTTTCATAAACTTCAGGTGTGACCTCATAAACATTCAACTGATACTACTGGTATTTAGATCAATTTTCTAGATACCAAAGCACTTCAAAAAGGTAAGTCAGTAGCATGAACCCTGTTTTTCAGACAGGGAAACCGAGGCACAGAAATATTACATCACTTGTGCAAGGTCTCACAGCAAGTCTACAGCAGAGCCACACAGAGAATTCAGTCACTTGAGTCAAATAAGCCACGTTACACCAGGAGATTTGGAAATCTTCCATTTGGGATAATACTGTATTTCCTACATTTCATTCAACACACACAGACCCCTCCGTACCTTTCTGAGTGCAAATGTCTTCTTTAAAAGAAAGACTTTATATGCAAGAAGCAGCCATTACCTGTATCTTCAGACTCATCATCATCATCTTCATCATCGCCTGACGATGGAGAATCTTGAAAGGGAGGGAGAAAAAACACAAGTCACTTGCTAGGCCATTGGTGTTTCCCCATTCATTTCTGTGGTACTTTTGCAGAGTCACAGTACCGCTAAAAGATCATGGGAAAGTAAGGCTGCATAAAGTCAACTGTGTTAGAACCAGCACAAAGCTGCTTTTCAAAAGGTAGCCTCTTTTTTTGCATCGAGTTGCACTCCAATGCACCTAACTGGCTATTTTTGGATACTATCAGTCACTTGTGTGAACAGGGATAAAGCATTCACAAGCAGAGGCTGCTGGCCCAAGAGGGAACCCATCACTTGTGGAGTGGGGGGTGGAGGGATAAAAAAAGAAAAGAAAACAAAAACCCACCCTTTAAAACCCTTCAAAGTACATATTTACAAAACTATGGAGGTCAGCTCAGGCTCCTATCAAAACTCAACCCTGATGCATCCCAGCAGTTTTCTGTAAGGATTTCATCCAAGATTAAAACGAGAGAGGTTTTTCTCATTCCCGCTGCTGTCAACTCTGCCACCCAAACAGCGGAGCTAGCAGCAGCCAGAGTTTTCTCAATCTGCTGTTAGGGATGACTGGCAAATAAACAAGCTAACTATGAAGAGCTTTGAGGCTCTTGGCCTTATGCCCTTTTTTGCTCATTTTTCCCCCCAGTCATTTACAGTGTCTGAAGAAGGTTAACCTGTATTTTTTTTTTTCCAAGAAGCATTCTGCATGGTTGCTGTGGACCCTAGATAGCGAGCTCTGGAGCACCGCAAGACTTTGGGGTCTGGTAAAGACTTAAGCAGGTGCTTAACATCCGGCACCAGACTTGTGAATGGTGCGTTAATTTAAGTGCCTATGTTAAAGGGTTGAAGGGTCAAGGCCTAGGTTGAGTGCAGGGCTTTTGACCTAGTGCAATCACAGGAGTGATTCAATTAGAGTGTTTTTCCCTTCTACCGTCCTTCGCTCCTTCGTACAGATTCTTCCCACTTATCCCCCAGAGCAGGATTTTCCAGTAACAATGCTGGAGAATAGGCAGGCAGGGAAAAGCCCCAGTCTGTTACTCCGCCTCCCCACTTAATTAGGCCTTAATTACAGGCAGGAGACTTCAATAAAGGAGCTCCTTTCCCAGTGCTGCTCTGCCTGACAGTGAAGCTTTCAGTGCTGGGGTATGGGTGACTTGGCACAGTCACCAGGTGAGAGGGAAGGGCTGGGCAGAGC